GAGCACAAGCGTCTCAAGTTCATCCTCATGATCCGCTGCTGCCCCCCGGATCCTCCCTTCACAGCACTCCACGTAACTCCCGCCCTCCATCGCAAACAGCCTAAACCTCGTCCACTCCGATCCCTCGCTAATCAGCGTCAATTGTGTCTCGACCTCCCCTGCCTCCGCGGGCACCCGCAAAGCATGTATAAATCGCGCGTCCCGAATTTCGATACCCGGTGTGGTCATCAGGCCAAGCTGGCGAAAAGCTTCCACAGCCATGAGCAGCATCCCGGTTCCTGGACAGAGAATCTGACCGTCGAGAGTGTGGTCGCGGAGCCAGGGGACTTCGCGCAGACGGATGATATTGCGCCATTGCGCGATCTGCGGGTTCCAGTCTAGGCTACGGGTGCCGAGAAGGTCGTGGCGGCGGTGTGTGCGGAAGCGGAAGTTCTTGCCAAGGCGGCTTTCTTTCCAGTAGGTTTGGCTGTGGTTAAAGGGGTAGCTGGGGAGACGGTGGGAGGGGATGGGCCGTGGTTTGGATTGGGGGATATTGTTGGCGAGGAGGAGGTTGGGCGTGAAGCCCGCGCAGAAAAGGTGGCCAGTGGCCTGGAGGAGGGTGGTTGAGGCGGGAACTTTGCGGTCCAGGAGGGAGAGGTAGCGAGGAGGCGTTGCCTTAGTGGCTGTTTTGGAGGCTGCTGAGGCGCGAATGGTATCGGTGATGGGGCCTTGGAGGGCACGATGAGGGCCGATTTCAAGAAGATGAGTGATGGGGAAGGAGGTGGATGATGATTCCGCGAACAGAAGGCGTGAGAGAGCGCCGCAGAATTCTACGGGTGAAGTCAGGTTTCGGACCCAGTAGTCTGCGCTGGCGAGGACTTTTGGGGTGACGAGGGCTTGTGTTACCGAAGAGATCATCGGGGTGGTGGTAGTAGTATATCGTGGGTTTGCCTTGAGATTTGGGAGCAAGAGGTCACCCATTGCGTCGCGGTATTCGGCGGCGATAGCGTTCATGGCGGGCGAGTGGTAGGCCATGGGGACACGCAGCATGCGGGCAAATATGGAGTCATGCTCAAGCCATTGTTGGAGAGTGTGCAGCTGGGCGATGGACCCAGTGAGGGTGATGCTGGTTGGGCTGTTGACGCAGCCCACAATGACTGCAGTGGGCTGGTCAAGACGAGCCAGGTAGGGCTGGATGTCTGAGACAGAGGCGCCGACAGCCATCATTGACAAATCCGTTCTTTGACTTGCTAGCTGCGAGGATAGGCGGCCACGGTGATAGGCGATCTTGACGGCCGTGGCGCGCGACAAGGCACCGGCTGCATAGCCTGCGGCAATTTCGCCGGACGAGTGACCCACAACGATGGCCGGCTGGACGCCCCAACTTTGAAGCAGATCGACCAGAGCGATCTGTAGACAGGTGGTTGCTGGCTGACTGTACTCTGGCTGATTGATGGGCAGGTGGCTGTCGCCCTCGAACAAGCCGCGCAGGGACCACGAGCAGCCGAGGGCATGAAGGTCAGCATCCAACAGGTCGACTGTTTGTTTGAACACCGGATGCACCGAGATTAGGCCCTTCCCCATTCCCAGGTACTGTGCGCCTTGTCCTGTGAACACAAAGGCTAGTTGTACTCCATCGCGTGCTCGTACGGGCTTTACGGCCTCCAGTTGCTGACCACCTCCAGTGACCGTAAAACCTCTCCAAGGGAATCTGCTCCGACGGGAAGTCAAGGTGTAGGCCAAGTCTGACAGCTCCTCTGGAGGACACTGGCGGATGGTGTCGTGATACGCAGCGCTGAGCTTTTCCGCAGCAGTTTGGTCCGCAGCGGACCAGACAAGCACTTTGACGGTCGTCTCAGATGCTGACGGAGCAGCTAGTACTTGCAGTGTGGGACTTGGTGCTATATAACATGGTTGCGTTTGGTGATATCCCTTGAGTCCATGCTGGTCCAGATAATGGTAGGCATCATCCAGGATAACTGTGGAGTTGGTACCGCCGAACCCGAAAGAGTTGACGCAAGCACGACGCAGGCCGGTACTAGGCCAGGGAATAGCTACCTTGGGGAACTTTAAACGGAGCTGGTTGGCATCAATGCGGGGGTTCAGTGTGCGGAACCCGGCAATCGGGGGGATAATGCCATGCTCCAAAACTAGGATGGTCTTGATTAGGCCGGCCAAACCGCTGGCACCCTCCAGATGACCGATATTAGCCTTAACCGCACCGATATACAGCGGGTCCTCGACAGACCGGCAGTGACTGAAGGCCTGACCGATAGCGTTGGCCTCGATGGGGTCCCCGACCGGGGTTCCGGTACCGTGGGCCTCGAAGAAGCGCGTTGGACCCATGTCCAATCCTACCTGGTCGTAGGTCCGCTTGATTAGATCGAGTTGGGATGACCCGTTGGGCTGCGTGATACCGGGAGTTCGACCGTCCTGGTTTGCGCCTGTGTTGCGAATAACTGCGCGAATGCAGTCGCCATCACGCAAAGCATCAGACAGTCGCTTCACGACAAGCATGCCAATGCCTTCACCACGCGCGTAGCCGTTGGCCTGCTTGTCAAAGCTCCAGCTTCGGCTGTCGGGTGAGAGGAAGTTGAAAGAAGACATCATCTTCATAAAATTTGGGTGGAAAACGATGTTGGCTCCCCCAACGAGTGCCTGAGGACATTTACCCATAGTATGTTAGCCATTGCTTTGCAGATGTGCCCATCAAAGGAGATTTAACTGGGCATGGCTGGATTTGATTGACCAATCTCTACACATGAATGACCGGACACATACCATGGAAGAATTTCCCGCAGCCAGACCTTGAGCCGCTAGGTGCAAGGCGACCAAGCTGCTGGAGCAGGCCGAATCGAGATTCATAGAGACACCTTTGAAGTTGAAGAACCAGCTCACCCGATGGGCTAGCATTGAGGGGGCAATTCCCATCGCGGCGTGGGTGGCTTCGAGCTCAAAGTCCTCCTGTAGGACACTCTGGTAGTCATTGGTGAAACACCCCGTGTATACGGCCGTGTTAGTGCCGGAACACTTCTCAATCGGGATGCCAGCTGGACGAGTCATGAGCAAATTGGAATAGGTTCTCGTGAAGGAGAGAATGGGTACCATCTTCCAATGCGTGGTATGTCGCTTCCAACATGCGTCGGTGCTGTGGATCCATACAGGCAGCCTCTCCGGGCGTGATGGAGAAGAAAGGAGCGTCGAATGCTCCCAGGTCTTCTCGGATGAAGTTTCCTCCCCGAACAGATAGCTACGAACAACATCAGCCGTGTGAGGTACACAGGATCATTAGAGGGGGCGTACGTTACTAGGCCGATCCTTCGACGGGTGGTAGAACGCCTCGATGTTCATCCGATCCGTGGGAAAGTCCGTACTGGCGGATCTTCCGTGGCGGATCATCTCCCAAAAGCGTTCACTGGATGTCGCCTCCTGGGGAAACTCAAAGGCAAAGCCGACAATGGCCAAGGGAACTGACCGGCTGTCGCTCGGGCAGTAGGAATCTTCGCTGAGCATAAGCGGCATTGTGTAGAATTGAGATTCTTGCGTAGAAGAAAAGGGGGCTGTCTTATTCCAAATGATTTGTGGCACTCATTGCAGGTTCTAGTCTTTGCCTTATATCTTCTCGGAGAGAGAGGGTCAGCTAACTGTATAGTCCCTACTTCCATATCAACCCGGGATGGGATATACACAGTAATTGGATTCTATCCCTCTTGCCTAAGAGTAAATGATATTACAGGATACTGTAGCCAGTCAAGTAGACGAGTGTTTCCGGACGTAAGAGCGCTGCGGCGATGCACGGACCGGTTTGGTGCAAGGGATGCTCGTAGGCCGCGCCATTTCGCCTCTATTGCGATCCAACGATAGGCTGAAGCACAAGACAACTGCGACCTCATTAATCCTCTCCCGCCGATATGGCCCCTAAATCACATTCCCAGGACCCATCAGGAGAGGGCTGTGCTCAGAGTGTACAAACATGCCGTTTATCCGGTAGCATATCGAAGAGGCTTAGGTTGTCGATGGCTCCCAAGTGAGTGCAGGTGATTCGCATACCCGCCGCGACTGGCCGAGTGAGGCTAGAAGCAATAACATGGCGAGCAATGATTGGTTGGCTGTATGTATGTGATTGCTGACCAACATGGATGAACAGAGAGGGGGTGGTGTTGTCTGATGTCGGCTGTGCCACCGTTAGTGCAATTAGGGCAGACTGCGTAGACCTTCAGGCTCCTAGCCGTCACCTAGAGGAGCTTAATGATCCCAGAATAGGGTACCTGATACAGGTTTGCGCAAAGGGGGCTTATCTGGGGGGGTGGGGGTCACACCATGGAATGATTGGGAGCTTCCGTGTCAGTTCCGCCCGTAGCGCTGAGGCTTAATTTTACTACTCACGTTAGGGCCTTGGGGGCCGTAATGAGACAATGGCATTACAACCTGTTACAAGGCGTCTGCAGTAAGCCGTTCGCTGTACTGCACACACAGAAATCCTTTCCTTATCCCACCTCCGTCGAAGTCTGTTAATCTGACAGCGAACCGCCGCCTGGCTGAGAAAGAAAAGACATATATCCCAAGCCAAGGTACCTCCGGGCTAGTAAAACCATCATATATTCATTTACTGATAAATGCCTCTCCCCTACCATACCTCCTCTGGCGTAATAGCTCCTATGATTACAAGGAATGCTGAACCGGTATGGATACTCCTTCTGATCACAACTGGTATTGTTTGATAGACTGCATCCATATGCATCCATATGCATCTACTACTTGGTGTTGTGGTGCCGTCCCCACCATCGACCGGTGGTGGAGAGCAGGAAGAGAGAGGGGGTGGGGGGAAGGGCTGGCTTATCCTGCACCTCGACAACTCTTGTCACAGCCCCAGAACCTCCCTTCTTCCGGGGCGACGGGTTCAAAAGTCATGGTGAGAAAGATCTGGGGCCCACGATATCCTCCCACCTCCCCTTTTATTTCCACGCAATGCTTTCTCTGCGAGTCTCCCCTCTCATCAACTAGCCCTCTCATATCTCATCATGTACACTCGGCGGGAAGAAGACAATCTCACTGCATCGAAACAGCCATTGCTGTATGGAATGAACATTCTGTTCATAATATTGTCGACCATTGCGATTGTTCTACGCTTCATCTCGCGACGAATCGGCAGAGTCCGCTGGGGCCGAGATGATACTCTCATCGTCTTAGCCTGGGTGGCCACCATGGCCTTCTTCGTTATAATGATTGTTGACGTCCGCTACGGAGGCACCGGATTGCATGTCGCGTACATAATGGAGACTGACCCAACCCAATCGGTCGTGTTCTCCAAACTCATCATTGCGGTTTCAATAGTATGGTGTGTCTCCACAGCTCTCTCGAAGTTGACCATCCTGAGCCTCTACATTACCCTTTTTGGCATCAACAAGTCAGCGCGCTATGCCTGCTATCTCACTGGGGCTATCGTCATCGGCTATTCAGTCGGGGGATTCTCAGCGTGCTTTGCCGTCTGCAGACCTCTCAAAGCCCTCTGGGACACCAACGTCAAAGGCACCTGTTTCGATCTAAACATGCTCCTCCGATGGATCCGACTTCCAAACATCGTGTCGGATATTGCCATCATGATCATCCCTATTCCGTATGTACTGAAGCTACAAGTCACGGGACGTGTCCGCCTCGGCCTTATCGTGACCTTCCTGTTTGGCAGTGTGTGAGTTGAGTCCGCTCCCTTCTCGTGCGCCAGACTCGCTAACCCGAGAGGTTTTGTGCTGTAGGGGTTTTATATTTGGTGTCATATGCTGGAGCGAGTACCTGAAGACCGATGCGGTGGCCGACAAGACGTGGTCGGCCATCTACATCTTCGTCTGGAGTGACGTTGAGGCAGGCATGTATTTCATTGCCACTTGCTTCCTGGCCTACCAACCCCTGGTGAACCGCATATGGTCGCGGCTGAGCTCGAGGGTGGCTTTCAGCAAGAATGGTAAATCCGCCGGTCAGCCGGAAAACACCACCGACCGCAGTACTACGCCTTTTGCCTTCAGCCGTTCCCCTACTCGGTACGTGGAGATCACCAAAGAACAGAGCTTCTCCGTCTCTGTGGGGGACCAGGAGGACACCATTGGATTGGTGCCCGTGGCGCACACCATACCGGAACCTCAATTTGGATCCCGTTTGTCCCGTTAGTGGACCCATTGGGGAGGAGGCGGAAGTTGCAGGTGGGCTGAGGTAGAAGATGCAGCGAGAGGGAGAGAGGGAGAGGTGGTGGGGGGGGGGGAGGCTGTGGGTGGTAGCCTTTGACATGTAGCCAGTCGTTAAATTGTATAGTTTTTCCCGCATACATGATTGCTATCCTCATTAAGTTGCAGTTGCGCGTACATATCCTACGCGAGGTCTATCACACATTAGTAGTTCCAAACTAGTTAACTAGGAGTTGACACTTGCTATGTGAACTCCACAACTGGTAAGCGGGTCCCGCAGATAGATGCCCATAGAACTAACCTATCTAAGTACTGGTACGGGATAGTTAGCTCTGATCGGTGATTCAGCCTAGCCGATATATCCGAGCTGGCAGATCAACCCCCATTTTGGCTGTACGCCATTCTTGATCATCTTGCGCCGTAGCGCATGAACTGTGTGTAGACCAAGAAAGCCTCGCTGTCAGCCAGAGTTTCACTTCTCCTACCTATCCTGGTCTGAGCGGGTTATACTGGGCTAATCCTGGATAGGAAACTCGTGCGTAGCTAGCCCGAGTAGCTTGGCTGTTGGACGATATGTGGAATTCGGGAGCGTACCCCTGTAAACACATAGCAACCAATAAGAAGACTGACTAGACACGGGTAGTAGTGAGCAAACTCCTTTCACAAACAGGCACGGACATCCTGGGACGGAGACGGATCGCCCCACTGAGCACGGTGGCACGCGCGGGAAGGAAAGTAAGCTCCAGGACATTTCGGCCCCCTACGCTAGTGGTAATCCCTGTCTGGTGCAAACAACAGCCTCATGTAGGTGAGAAATTAGTTTGAGACCTTGCCTTAGGCTAAGCATTTCGCATCGGTCTTACGCGCCCGGCTTAGTACGGGTATTGTAACCGTTTTCACACATAATAATTTTCCGCTAGTTGGGAATGTTGTGAGCCCTTATGCAGCATTTTACTATACAACGAAGGGTGGACTGGGGCTGAGATGCAGCTGGCTCCAGCCAGATATAGGTAACCGTTGAGAGGTCTTGGATTTAACTGCGGGAGGGATGAATCATTATAAATAATCCTTCATTTCCTCATGTCCTTCCTCAACCATCGCTCTCAAATCAGTCCCATTTCCATATTCTCCCCCCCCCCCCCCCTCTCTATATTTCTATCTCTCTATAGTTCCAAGTCCCATAGTCCCTCCACTCATCCACCACACTCCCCAAAACTCATTAAGTTTTCTCAACATGTCGGAAAAGCCCAATTACGTTCTTACCCGGGATTATCTCGATAACAATCGGTAAGTTTCCCCTACGATGTCATGGTGAGCGCGACAAATAGATAGTAATGGTTGGGAATCATCCAGATTAAATCTCCACCACTACCTCATCACGGAGCTGTTCGGTTACCACATCCATCCTGACATTCCTATTAAGGACAACAATAGTTTTCGCATTGCCGATGTAGGCACAGGAACTGGGTATGTGGTAATACCTATCTATTGCATGAGCTTCTAAGAAAACCAAACAGACTAACGTGACCATCGTATAGGGTCTGGGTAACAGACCTAGCCCGCCGACTGCCGACCTCGGTGCAACTGGATGCCTTGGACATCTCATTCGATTCGGCCCCCCCTGCCGAATGGCTTCCGTCAAATGTTAAAACCTTCAAGTGGGATGTCAAGCAGGAGATCCCTGAGGAGCTCGTGGGCGTTTATGATATCGTCCATATTCGGCTCTTCATCTTCGTCCTCCTGGACTCTGAGGTTCAGCCTGTCCTTGAACGGATTTTGAAACTCCTTAGTACGTTCCTTGCACTTCAGCCCCCATCCACCCTACTGCGACTCGGCCCTATTTAATTTGGAGACCAAGCTAATTTGTCCCACGCTAGAACCGGGCGGCTACATCCAGTGGACTGAAGTCGACATGGGATCCACTAGAACTGAAAGCGCCAACCCAGCCAACAGCACCGAGGCTTTGACAAAGATGATTCGCCTCTCAGAGGGTCGGGATGAGCGACTACGTCCACGATGGGTTCCCAGCCTGGCGTCTAAGATGGCCGCCGCCGGGTACGAGAATGTCAAGGAGGATGCCCGCGATGCGCCTCCCCATCTAGCCCTGGCGCTGCATGATTGCAATATCATGATCCATGAGACATTTGCCCGGAAATTCAAGAACCCGCAGACAGCTCAAGTGCTGAACGAACTGATCCCCGAGGTGGAGAAAGAGACCAAAGAGGGTTCCTGCTTGTCGCATACGAGATACACTGTCGTGGGAAGAAAACCTCTCGCGCAGTGAATTGTAGGCCCGGAAATGATCCCAGAGCCAAGGCCTTCCGCCGTGTACGGTAAATCCTTGTATAGTTATATCTCTGAACTCAATTGATCAGGCCGATTTATCGGTTTCTCCTCATTCCACCTTTCTGGTCTCTGTCAGTAAGCAGACACTCGAGGTGTCCAACCCAAGCCTGGCCTATCGGTTGGTTAACGTGCCAGTGTGTTGCTTTGTGAGCAATACCTTTCGTTGCTCGGATGATTCTCTCTAGATTCGTCGTTTTCTCAACAAAATAGGTAGTACCATATTCGGGAAATGATCAGCAATGACGTGTGGGCTGTGTGCACAGCGGGAAGAACAAACACCAGCAATATGCCAGACCAGACCTGCTCATAACTCCATGAAACCCTTGACGAGAAAAATTTTTACAGCCCGCTTCACAATTCGGAATGCTAGGCTCCGATCTACTGGCCAGACATCAATCTGACTGCGGCTCCCAATAGCCCTTTGGGTAGGCATGAAACCAACCAACTACCACCAAGTGTGACAAACCCCCCAGCATGCGTCCGTCATCACATAGCCAAGCCTCGTCATTTCCCATATCCGGCTTGGTACACGTTGCTACAAACGCGTTATTGAGCTGTGTGGAATCCGGATCATGAATACTTGCATTAGCGCCCTGTATTTTGGATAGCGCTAACTTTCCTGCTCCTTCCCATTAGTGCTTAGCACAACTCGGCCCCTCTCGGCCAAATGCATTAACCCCTCTTTACGGCTCGCAACAAACATACCTCAAGATATTTTTGGGTGACTTTAGGTAATATATGACATGAATGAGCCAATCGCTCCTTTCATATCTCTTATGCGAGACATCCTGTACTGTATCAATACTACTGCAATCTGCGCGTCCGACCGGCGTTTGAACCGGATAATAATAATATGTCAGTACACGTTCCGTAAACCTCCGGCGGGGGCAATCTCAATATTCTACCCCCAAGCTATACATTGGGGTTATTGGGTTTAGGTCTACATGGATATGGGTTGTTTGCGGGATATTCAAGAGTGGACGGCTAAGTCAGTAAGCAGGGTCATGACGACTATACTATAGGCGAACAGTGGTTCACTATATTTGCTACGTCTTTAAAGTCGAGTTATGCTTGGGACTACTGCTTCTATTACCGCAAGGCTTTGACTGAAATCACAGACAGACTCCCCAAAATATTAAAGCTCACTGACATGAAACAGACTAGGAGTAACTTATAGTAGGGAAGATTGAACGCGCGATTAGACTGATTATCTTGCTAGCTAAAAGACTATGAATTGAGTGCCACATATTCATAAAGTATGCGAGTGGCAGCTTACCCGATCTTCGACAGATAAACACAAATTTAAGGTATCGAATGATTAATTTTACCGTATGTACTGCAATTGAGATTGTGTATGGAGATGTGACCCAGGCACGGAAGGTGTCCGACCTGTAATTGTTGTTGCAGATTATACTGATAAATTCACTTTAAAAATATACACAGTCTCGCTTGCATCTCCGTCAGATGTATTATGTCAAACCCTCCATACAATGATAGTGATCACCGCATTAGCCAACTTAATGGTACTATAACAGAGCAATTTCTCACTAATATAACAAGGTATATACTCCTAGTTAAGGCGAGCTGGATATAATATATATTATTTCTCACAGTTACGTACACCACATCATCGTCAAGACATAGATCAGTCTTCTGAAAGCCCTCCAAGAGGAAGTACTACAACATGCATACTATTGGAGAAAGTGTACATGCAAAGGTTATTCGCTCGCGTTATCGGCTACGGACCGTATACTCTGGGAAGTGAAAGTAACCGCCTCAAGCAAATAAGGCTATGTACAAATTCCAGCCATGCAAACAGGAAAACGAAGTAGATTCGCAATTATTAGGTCCCGGACATCAACCTCGTAACGTGACTCCCGTGAGCACTAAGTCAGTGGCAGCTAAGGAATAGTATACGATATACGAACATGAACTCGGGCCCACACTAAAGACAGGTTGGTCTTGCTGAGTACAATATTTATCAGCGCACAGGTGCAGGCATATCGTGGAACATGGAGGGGGCTGAGCACCATGTCAGTTTGGTCGAGTATCAGCTTTACAGTAAACGCTACGCTAGTTTATAGCGGCCACTCATCACTTCGGCGGGCTCTGGACCTGTCAGCATCTAGGTCGGCTAGACTAGTAAGATGGGACTGGCAAGGCAGTGACTGATCCTTTTCATGCCCCTTGAGTAATACCTGAGCAGAATGTAGTAAAGGAACTTCCAAACAGTAGTATGACAATGAAAAGACGGAATTCGGGGCGAGTTCTTACTTCAGCATAAGCATGTATTGAAGGACATTTGCAGCTATATAAACTGGCATACGGCACCTGCCTTTGGGTGCCTTCTGGGATATCAAGTTTCTCGCCTTTCGGAGGATACATTCATATTGTTGACTTCGGTTATTGGCACCTCACACGAACATCGGCTCGAAAGAACCCAACATATTTCGACATCTTTGGGTATCTGACAATTATGCCAAAATCTTCTACCACCCAGTCCAGCATTCCTGGAAGGCTACTACAGTTCCAAAGCATGGAGAAACTCGCAGAGGGCCAACCAACAGCCACTCCTTTGAAGGGAAAAAAGAATATGCAGGCTCAGTACGGAGGTAACGACAAGCCTGGTGTCCTCCAAATGTTCCCGTCCGCCTGGTTGCCATATGTCCAGCTCGTCCGGCTGTGGCCTCCAGCCGCGCTTCTCCTCATTTTCTTCCCCCACGCATTTGGCATCCTGCATGCTGCAATTAAAATGCAAGCTCCAGCAGAGCACGTCTTGCCAACCAGCATTACGATCTTTAGGGGCTGCTTCCTCTTCTCCAATGCAGCTCACACATGGAACGATCTGATCGACGCACCCCTGGACGCCCAAGTGGAACGGACACGAAAAAGACCAATCCCTCGTGGGGCCATCACACCAAAAGCGGCTATTATCTTCGGATCCACTCAGGTGCTAGGTGCTGTCATCTTTCTCGCATGTATGCCGTTAGGGGTTTCGACTTCCGGTCTATACGCGTTACCCAACATCATCAGTACGACCTACTACCCGTTCGCTAAGCGGCACACTCGGTTCCCACAACTCGTTCTCGGCTTTTGTCTTGCATGGGGTGTGGTCATGGGAGAGGTGGCCATGGGACTGCAGCCCATTGCTTACTCTCCAGGCAAGGCCAGTGTCGCCGTCGACACTTCGGTCATCTTTCTCGTAACGGGAACTGCTTTGTGGGTCCTCATCTATGACACAATATACGCGCATCAGGACCTTCAAGCCGATCTGAAAATTGGGATCAAGAGTTTAGCAGTGCTGCTGCAAGGCCACACCAAAGCGGTGCTGTGGCCCGTCCTGATGCTCATGACCGGCCTCCTAGTGGAAGCTGGCCGAGCAAGTGGGCTAGGGACATCGTATTACCTTTTTGCAGTGTGCGGGGCTAGTGTGTCTCTCGGTCTCATGGTCTGGTACGTAAATCTGCAGGATAGTCGGAGCTGTTGGTGGTGGTTCAGCAACGGCTTCTGGTGGACTGGGGGCACTATCATGATTGGTTTGTTGGTGGAATATTCAAAGCAGGTCAGATTTTAGCTTCCTGCGATGTCGAGGTCACTCCCGCTCAGGGTCCGACGATTTTTGCGGTGCGGGCCGCCGAGAGTAGACATAATTCAGCCTGTACACTAGAGTAGCTCTAGTCTGATTAGTTAGTGGGTACAAAGCTAGAAGTTGTTGGTGGTCTTGCTCGCTGTTTTGTGACGTCTAATAATACAACGTAGGACTTGGCAGAGATGGAATCTGAAGGCCAGCCTTCTTTCCTTGTGATATGGCGAGCTTCTAAGCCCGAGTATTTCCATGTATCTTACCAAGATCATTCGTAACGGGGCAACGCTCTTACAGTCCACGTGTCGTGTGACGGCTTCTGCCATCAGCGTGGAGGCAGCGGCCATCGTTTCTCGGCTTCAGACAGCCACTGACATAGGAAAGCCCACAGGTGATAATTCCTAACCTTCTGGTGCATCATGATGAGAATCCTTGGCTGCATTAATTGTGCTGGAACGTTCGTTCCAGCGCCAGCTGAAGACTGCAGTTGGATTGAATAACTATGGCGTTATGCCCGGCCGTTTCACATATGCCTCAACATGCCAGGAATTGGATACCTTCCTGATATCGTCCAGCCTTGCAGCTCTTCTATTATGGCTTGGTAGCGTTGGCTGTACCACCTTTCAAGCCGGGATGGCGAACCCACTGCGTAAAAGCACTCTGGTGAATGGTCAAGGTACATCTACCTCATTCATAAAAGAGATATTCGCACTTTCCACTCGCGCTTTGTCCTTGTCTCTGTAATCTCCTGAAGCACTAATACGCCTTTGCGACTGTTTATCAACTAACTAGGGGCCGTTACCGTCATTATTCTCCCAGATAGACGCAAAAACACCGTAATCCTTGTCGGAAGCTCACATGGCACCGTTAAGCCGCAACATGTCATCTTGACTATTATTGTCTCATATTCCGGTAAATCCGGTGCGTAAGTCGCAGATACAAATGAAGAAAAGTATCAGGGGTGGGGGCCTTTCTCGTGTTGTATGCTGCCTTAATGAGATTCATTGCCGGAAGGTATGCTCCTGAGCATTGATGTCGCATATCAGTGGGGTGGTCTAGTCGATCAGACGGATCGGGATGATTTTAGCAGACTCAAATCGTGTGCTTCCCCCACTCCCCACCGTGCCCTGCCCTAGTGAAGATGGTGTCTTCCATCGGAGTGACTAGACATGTGGAGCGGGAGGATCGTGTGTAGGGTATTCCTCTTGGTCCCTATTTGTCTGGTCGAGTAGACTAAAACTTGGCACGGTTACCAAGTCTGAATGCAGTTGCCAAGTAGATTATTCCGCAGCGGTGCCCCAAATTACAGAAAACTACTACTGCACACATCCATAGCTAAGAAAGGGGATATCGTGAAAAGCTAATCTCCTCATGAGCGATGTATACGCTGTGAATTGAAAGTTAGACTTTACATTCAATCCCTGTTTTTCTCCCTTATAGCAAATTGCCTTCGAAACAAAGTTTTTCCCATACGCTCGCATGCTAGACCCCAATCACTGCTTCGGGTCCATTTATGATGGTAAGGCTGATACCCAAGTAAGCTACCCAGCCAACGGCCGAGCGTAATTCCCATCCCCATAGCTATAACTGACCCGAAGGGCACCCACTCCGGCAGTGACAGATAGGAGCCCCCAGCATCGAACATCTGTCAACATGGTAACAATCAACCCAGTCAGCCAAAGCTTAGCACAAACAGTGTGAAAGGGAACATTTAAGGAAACAAACTCACCGACATGACCTGTAAAATATCGACATTCTTCCCCACAACTACCGTCTCCTCCTGGTATCCGTACCAATTCATGAAAAATAATATATCCAGCTTGAATGTCTCCACAGTATCCTGCCCGGATAATAGAAACCGTATTATCCCACCACCCCCTGGTGATATCATATCATCGTTTGATCGTTGCTGTGCAGGAAATAAAGGCGGATACAATCGATGATTAACCCACGGACGAATGCAAAATCGTCCACTCTGGGGCGTCAGTGTGTACTGTTGGTTCCCAACATCGACGCACAACTCTCCTTCCAGGACTTCTATGTACTCTTCCTGATGTGGATGGAAATGCTTTGGGGGCTTGACGTTCTTGAGAAATGCAGGCCACTTGTCAAGGTGGAAGGTGATTTCAAAGGCGAAGACAAAGGGTGGGATGTGCCGCTCCTGGGTAATGATTGCTCCGTTGAAGCTGTAGCTTCCTGGTTAATAAGAATGCATGCATTGGATGGAATGAATACCAAAGTATGTACGTACCCTCTTTGGATAGAAGGATCGGAAGGGAGCAAAGTCGAGGCCATCATGGTGAAGGGTTGAATTTCCCTTCAGCTCAGCCCATTTGTTAAATTGTAGATAACGATGGGGTCATATCTCATATCGGGGTCTGGCCTGTTAGTTATATGGCTTTACTGACATGTGGCACAGTATGGAGGAGACAAGTATGACATTGATCTGACTAGGGGCGGGAACGAGGACGGAAGTAAACACTTTGTAAGCAGCTGGTATCGAATGCAGTCGTGAATAGTGAGTATGAAATGGATTGCTGAGTGATATTTACAAGCCGCTGCTGACATTCGTTGGAGACTGGTTATAAAATTGAAGTAAGCACTAGGTTGATGGGTTATAGTATCCGCATCAGCATCCAAGTGTGAAACTCGCTGGGAAACGCATTACGAAATGCCTTCGGGTGAGGCTAAGGCGGGCTCAAATATATCTAGAAGAAATGCAAGCATCTTTTTGATCCATCTTTTCTTACCTAGTATTCTATAACCGGTACAATTGTCATACCTAGAGAGATCGTCCCGATGTACTCATCCAATACAATAGTGCTACTTGCAAGACATAGCTCAAGTATTGTTTACATGGTACTTCAACTTTGGCTCGCATACTGGCATATGGCAGCGACTGGCAATAGTACGTTATCGAAGCGACCCCGCACGGAGAGCTGAAGATAAGCAGTTGGTCGTGATTACTCGGCTAGCCTTCTACTTTAGCGACCATGGCAGCATATCTTGACGCACGCCGCGCCTAAACTTACTGTTAGGGTCGTGCCGGAAGGTCGGTGCGAGAGTCGGTCGGCCCTGCCCGGTTAATCCTTACCTTCATGGAAGCGGGATGCGGAACTTAATGCCACGGAGCAGCAGTGTCGCCTAAACCTAACCTTTGGGGAATGCTTCCCGGCATTCCAAGACTCTGCTTATCTCCACACTCTGTTGCAGGATTTATCAGCTCAAGCCTATAAGTCAGACTATACCTCACATATTTGGTTCCCGTTTCAAAACTACAACCAATATCTCGTGCGAGATCTTTCACTATGTCGGTTCCCCACCCCTTTGACCCCTTGAGTCCAAAGGAGATCGCAAAGGTATGGAAACAAACGAAAGTCATAGACATAGTTGTTTAACAGTGGTCTCAGGCTGCGGATATTGTACGCCATGCATTTCCCGGGAAAACCCCCAATTTTCGAGTGATAACCCTGAAGGAACCTCCAAAGGCAGATATGGTGCCCTTTTTGGAGCAAGTTCATAAAGGAAATGGTGCACCGAAAAGGCCTGCGAGAGTTGCTCGTGTCCAAGTAGTCCTTCCTGGAGGTTCTTCTGCAAATCAGTTTATTGAGCTCCTAGTCGACCTCGAGGACTCTACAATTCTTGAAAAGGAACACCTGATCGGAAGGCATCCGTATATTGACTCTGATTACATGAAAGCCGCCGAGAAGGCGTGCATGTCAGATCCGAATGTTCAAGAAGAGATTGCCCGCTTGCAACTGCCGGATGGTGCTACCGTTGTTGTGGAGTCGTGGGCATATGCCACAGATGGCACCAAGGACACCTCACAACGGACTACCATGGTAGATACATCATATTGATCAAAATGCACAACGGCTGGATGTTAACCAGGTATATAGTGTTGGTTCTACATGCGCTTGGTGGATGACGCCGATGCCAATTACTATGCCTATCCTCTAGATCTGTGCGCGGAAGTATCGGAAGACTTGAAAGATACCAAGACGTATCAACTTCCTTCTGGTCCAGACGATCGCATTCACGACAAGCCGGAGCCATTCGATCGCCGCAAAATTCACGGCGCAGAGATCGAATACAGCCCTGGATTGAGAGCTTCACCGCGAACAACCACAAAGCCATACCAAGTGGTACAGCCGGAAGGCCCCTCATTCAAGACACAAGGAAACCATTTAGAGTGGGAAAAATGGTCCATGCACATCGGGTTCAACTACCGAGAAGGCCTCACCCTTCACGACATTCGCTACGATGGTCGAAGCCTCTTCTACCGCTTGTCCCTTGCAGAAATGTTTGTGCCTTATGGTGACCCGCGAGCCCCTTACCCTCGCAAGGGGGCATTCGATCTTGGCAATGACGGGGCGGGAATTAATGCTAACAATCTCCGTCTGGGTTGTGACTGCTTGGGTCACATCAAGTATTTTGATGGCTGGCACACGACTACTGCAGGGGACCCACTGAAACTTCCGAACGTAGTCTGCTGTCATGAGGAAGATGGTGGCATTCTGTGGAAACACACAAACTACCGGACGAGGAATGCGGTGGTGACGCGCTCGCGGATTCTCGTCCTGCAAACCATCATCACCGTTAGCAATTACGAATATATCTTCGCTTTCCAATTCGGCCAGGATGCGTCGATTCATTATGAAGTACGCGCCACTGGAATCCTTTCAACCGCACCGATTGATATTGGCGACAAAGTGCCGTGGGGTACCATTGTCGCGCCCGGCGTTCTAGCCCCCTATCATCAGCATTTATTCTCCCTGCGTATGGATCCCGCAATCGATGGTCACAGCAATTCTCTGCAGGTCGAAGAATCCCATGCTATGCCTGTCGACGTGCACAGCTTTGACCATACCGGTAAATCTCAAGAACAAATCGACTCGCATAGGAACCCCTTCGGCGTCGGATACGTCACGCGCTCTTCCATCGTGGAGGAAGAAAGCGGCTTGGACCTTGATATCTCCAAGAATCGCACA